CACTCAGGTTCCAGCTACATTGCCAACACCTGAGAGCTTGTTAGTTATGCAGAATATCTGGCCCGGCCCAGACCTAATAAATGAAAATTTGCATTATAACAAGATCACCAGGTTGTTCACATTAACATTGGAGAAACACTAGATGAAACAACTTCAAGGTGGTTTCTCCATAAGGGACCTGCTTTTGTGTTTATTGGTTCCGTGACTTAAGTTCTCATAGAAGACTACTCTGAAGTGCATTCATCAACTCAAGATATGGGCACTTACTGTATACCAAACTCTTCTCAATGCAAAAAACCGTTGCTTTACTGTAGCCAAGAGCTTCAATCCTCGTGTCTTTGAGCAAGTGAAGCACATAATTTCTACAGAAAATTTTGGTGCATCATCCCTGCTAATTCTTTGGTGAAGCAGCATAATTTAAACAAATACTGGGGCTTTGCATCCAATAATTACATATTGATGGCTACATATTACATTAAACCTTTGTTCTTTACCTATTCAGAATGGGTGAAATGGTGGTATTACCTAAATGGTCATTAACAAATGAGTATTTTACCTACTTAGTATTACTTAGAATAATCTTTTTCTCTGGTTATGTATTTCCAGGGTAATCCCTGGAAAAGAAGCATAAAAACATGTAATCAGTCACAGAGCACTTAATAAGAAAATAATTACAAAATTACATTTCATAGAGAAAAGTATTAGTTCTAGGGCAAAACACGTAGTTGCATAAATTGTGAGTTATCTGTCACTTTTAAACATCGGTCTTACATTTCTAAAAGTAGGTCCCATTGCTCAGTCAGACCCATAAGAGAAACTAGAACAAATCAGTGATGTTATTTACTAACTTTAACTACATGGCACACCGAATTTCTGTGGTGTTGTTAATATTTCAGTTAGTACTTTTACATATTTAGTAACGAGCGAATTCATTCATCATTCTCAGGGTCTAACTTCAAGAAGAATAAAAATAGCATATGCCAGAAAAAAAGAGAAACTGTTGTCCATCATGGGATATACATACATACAGTGCGCATACAAACACAGTATCCTGAGTGAGTACATTGATGATTATGTTGGTAACAAATAGAAGACTAAAAATATTTCAAATTATGCATCCCAGAGAGAATGAATGAGAGCTTCTGGAAGAGCCTTTCTTTTCCCACATCTGCTAGGTATGCCCATGGATGTTTCCTTTATTCCCATTATTTGATCCTCAAGATTCCTACTTTGTTTCTTTTTTTTTTTTAATGTTTTTTTTTTTTTTTTTGACAGAGAGAGAGAGACAGAGCAGGGGAGGGGCAGAGAGGGAGACACAGAATCTGAAGCAGGCTCCAGGCTCTGAACTGACAGCACAGAGCCCGATGTGGGGCTCGAACTCACAGACCGTGAGATCATGACCTGAGCTGAAGTCGGACGCTCAACCAACTGAGCCACCCAGGTACTCCCCTACTTTGTTTCAAATCCTCTACCAAGTTTACGATTTCAGCAACCGTGCATTGAGCATCTACTACAAACCCAGGAGGAACTCTCTAAACACTGATGGATCAAGGCTTTGTCACATAATTAGCTAGGTGCTCGCCTAGACTCAGCTATCAAATATGTTCGCACAAATGGGAGAACATTGGTCTGAAAATCATGGTTGAATCTGGTGGCAGTATATTTGTAATACGCAAATATGGGTTTGGTGGTGAGAAGAAAAACATTTCCAGAAATTTAAGAAAAGATGGATTGTTCTGTAGCCGTGGTAACAAGGAGCCACTAACTAAGCATCTACAGAGGATGTCATGAACGTTTGTCAATGCCCGTACTCGACCCTTCCCCCAAATCCTATGAGATCAGTCCTCTGCTCTGCCCAGAGAGGCCATGCCTGACCAGAACAGCTCTCCCACAATAAGTGAAGCCTTGTGCTTTTTATTGTAGTTATTGGGCAATGGTGTCATCATCTTTTCACAACGCGTAGCATACCTAGTAAGAAGAGAAAGGCACCCTGACTGCCCAGTTTCTCCATAGCAGAGGGTCCCATAATGCTCTCTGATTGAATGATGGAATCCCCTCAAAGTGTGTTATCAGCAATGTGGAGCATCTCCTGGGAGCTTGTTAGAAATGCAAATTCTTCAGTCATTCTCAGACTTGTTGGACTGGGAATCTCTTTAAAAAGCTCTGGTAAAGTTTAAGAAGCACTGAAATGAGGTACAGAGCCTACGTATTATTGATCCCAAATTCAAATCCCTGAAATACCACCTCCTAAATATTTGACCTTGGGTAATTTACTCAACAGTTCTGTGCTTTGGCTTCCTAAATAATTAGTAGAAAGTACAGTACTTCTAAGGTCATTGTGAACAGTAAAGGACATAATGATTTTAAAGTGTTTAACCTGGCATGTCACAAGTGCTATATAATCTCTAGCTATTTTGTTATATGTATTATTATTAGTTATTAAATCCATTCATGTGTAACTTCAAAAATTCACTCTAACTATATTCAAGTATATGCAAATTATTTACAAGGAAAGTAGCATTTTGTATAGCTACGTACTCCGATAATCAGCTGCAGCTTAATTTAGAGAATCATGTAAACAAATGCTAATAACAAAAGCCAAAAAGTAAACTATCTTGACCTGAGATTACCATCCATCATGTGTGATGCAGACCAGTGCTTCTCAAATTAGCCATGGTAAAAATCAGTTTTTATTCCTTTTTTTTTTTTTCCCTCCAGTCTACCTTAGACCGGTCTTACTAGGCAGCTTGAACTACAAGTGACTCACACAGACAGAAGTTAAACAAAATAGGAACCTGTCTGTACCTTCTTCAATGAGATGAGTCCACTGATTTCTGTCTTTGTATGTCATGAGCTATGCCAAACTGTCATGAAACTTTATAAATTCTCACTCTCAATTTTTGTGACTATTTCACCAGCGATTAGGAACCTACAGTTTATAGATCACAATTCGAATAGCACTAAAATAGACAATAAAGATAGCTGAGCTCCGACAGCAAATGTTTTCTTCTTTTTCCATATTGTTAACTAACACATACGTGCATGTAGAGAGTTTTCATTCAAAATTATGTAAAAATGAATAAATTTTTAAAGTTGATAACATTATACTCTTCTTCACGTGAGTAGTTCACGATTAAAATGAATTCTTTCTCAAACTCTGAACATAAGTATTCCACCGTAGTATGGAGTACTTGGTTTAGGAAATTAAAATAATTTCAGGACACTTGCAATCGAAAGCAACAATGTGTGAATGTGTGATAGACGGTGTGAATATCTGAGGACTGTGAACAATAGTTATTTTTATTAAACTAAAAGCAGGTTCTACTATCTTCATGTTTTAGCCACGCACAGCTTTGACAATTCATTTTTTTATTTAAAAATTTTTAAACTTTTTTTTAATTTAAAAAGTCAGTAAGGGGGCTCCTGGGTGGCTCAGTCCGTTGAGCATCCAACTTCAGCTCAGTCATGATCTCGCGGTTTGTGAGTTCGAGCCCCACTTTGGGCTCTGTGATGACAGCTCAGAACCTGAAGCCTGCTTCGGATTCCCTCTCTCTCTCTCTCTGCCTTGCCCCTGCTCACACTCTGTCTCTCTCTGTCTCTCAATAATAAATAAACTTAAAAAAAAAAAGTCAGTCAGAGAAAGACAGATACCATATGTTTTCACTCATATGTGGATCTTGAGAAACTTAACAGAAGACCATGGGAGAGGGGAAGGGGGGAAAAAAAGGTTACAGAGAGGGAGGGAGGCAAACCATAAGGGACTCTTGGATGCTGAGAGCAAACTGAGGGTTGACAGGGGTGCAGGAGAGGAGAAAGTGGATGAAGGGCATTGAGGAGGGCACCTGTTGGGATGAGCACTGGGTGTTGTATGGAAACCAATTTGACAATAAATTATATAAATAAATAAATAAATAAATAAATAAATTTTTTAATCTTCATTTATTTTTGAGAGAGAGAGAGACAGAGTGCAAGCAGGGAATGAACAGAGAGAGAAGGAGACACAGAATCCGAAGAAGGCTCCAGGCTCTAAGCTGTCAGCACAGAGCCCGATGCAGGGCTCAAACTCATGAGCCGTGAGATCATGACTTGAGCTGAAGTCAGATGCTTAACCAACTGAGCCACCAAGGCACCCCTACAATTCATTTTTGAAGTATTCATTGTGTGTGTGTGCGCGCGTGTACTTCAAAAATTTTTGCAAGTTTTTTTTTAGATATAATTGACATATAATATCATGTAAGATTAAGGTGTACAATGTGATGATTTGAGAGATATATACTGTGAGCTGATGACCACAGTTAGGTTGGGTAACACTTCTATTACCTCACATAATTCTCCTTGTGTGTGTGTGGTGAGAATATTTAAGATCTCCTCTCAGCAACCTTTAAGGATTTGATACAGTATTGTTAAATAGTTACCATTTATCTTATAACTGGAAGTTTATATTCTTTGACTAATGTCTCTCCTTTTTCCCCAACATCTGGTTCCTGGTAATCACCATCCTACTCTGTTTCTATGACTTCGGGTTTTTTAGATTTCATATAAAAGTGAGATCATACAGTATTTCTCTTTTCCTGTCGGACTTGTTTCACTTAGCATCATGCCCTCAAATTCTATCCATATTGTCATGAATGGCAGGATTTCTTTCTTTTTGAAGTGTTCATTATTTCAGAAGATTTGTTTTTAATTTGTCATTTAAACGTGGCTTGAAAATTCTAATGTATAAATGGTAAAGTCAGTTTCAAATGAGAAAGTACCCAATTTATTTATAATGTAAAATAATAATTATAATTATCCATTATAACTTAACTATAAGCCATAATAAAAAGCATGTTGTATTTTATTGATATTTATTATTAAGGATGTTGGCATGTTATAAATTAATATGTTGATATAATAAATACTTTTATTAAATAATGGCTTGAGTTTATAATTTAAAATGACAGATCAAATTCTGTCTATCCTTTGAGGCTAGCGATTCTAGCAACATGTCCATTACTTACTTGACAAAGGATGATAAGAGGAGTGTGATTAGTGGCCTCAGTACCTTTCCACAGCAATATAGGTATTTAGAATTCTTTGAACAGTCGCTGGAATTTTATGCCAACCACTGTAGGTATCATTCCTTACTATAAGCCCATTGCTGAGTGTTCACCACTTTCCAACATTTTAAACCAACAACATCTATAAAACTTAGACCTCTAGGGGTGCCTGGGTGGCTCAGTCTGTTAAGCATCTGATTCTTAATTTTGGCTTGGGTCATGATCTCACGGTTATGATCTCACAATAGTGAGACTAGGCTCTGCACTTGGTGTGGAGCCTGCTTAAGATAGCCAAGTTATGGAAAGAGCCCAAATGTCCATCTACCGATGAATGGATAAAGAAGATGTGGTGTATACACACACACACACACACACACACACACACACACACACACACACACAAAATGGAATACTACTCTGCAATGAAAAAAGAATGAAATCTTGCCATTTGTAACAATGTGGATGGAAATAGAGGGTATTATGCTAAGCGAAATAAGTCAGTCAGAGAAAGACATATCATATGATTTCATTCATATGTGGAATTTAAGAAACTCAACAGATGAACATAGGGGAAGGGAAAGAAAAATAAGATAAAAACAGAAAGGGAGGCAAACCGTAAGAGACTCTTAAATTCAGAGAACAAACTGAGGGTTGTTGGAGGGGAGATGGGTGGGGGATGGGCTAAATGGGTGATGGGCATTAAGACAGGCACTTTTCTAGATGAACACTGGGTGTCATATGAAGAGATGAATCACTGGGTTTTACTTCTGAAGCCAAGACTACACCATATGTTAACTAACCTGAATTAAAACAAGCAAACAAACAAACAAAAAACAGATTCTCTCCCTCTCTCTCTGACCCTCATATGTGCTGTCTCTCTTTCTCTCCCTCAAAAACAAACAAACAAACAAACAAACACACTTAGACCTCTAAATTCATTCATTTAAAAATATTGGGTATCTTTATTTTTTTCCTCTGCTGCTCCATATACTCTTTTGTTTTAAGGTATATATTCCTGGACATAATCATCTCAGTATGAATAGAGAGCCCAATTGAAAAATAGTTCCTTTATTTAAAATAAAATCATGAGGGGCTCCTGGGTGGCGCAGTCGGTTAAGCGTCCGACTTCAGCCAGGTCACGA